CTCCTCTCGGGAAGCTGAAAATTATGGCGCCCCGGAACGACTAAGTGTTTCGCTGATTAGAAGATCCGAGCCGGGAGAAAAACGCGTAGGGAAGATCTTGGGCACTCAGCTCAGCCTATTTGGGACTGTCTGGCCTCAAGATCCTACCCATAGAATCTAACATACCACCAGATGAAGAGAACCATCTTTATAGTCGGGGCAAAGATACCACCACAACTCTGCTCCGCCTTGTCTGTTTTGCTTTGCCATGTCTAACCACATCGTTTCGGAGGCTAAGACAGAGACGGACGCCAATTTCCTGTTCCGCGAGAGGGTGCAAGTAAGCAGACATGACGTGGAGCAGTCGTGCGTCATGCACAGCACCCCCTAACTGTCATTTTCTACTCGATCCGTTGCCCTTCTACCCTTCAAGCCGTGCTCGGATGTTCCTGTGTTACCCCACACCATATCCAGTTAGTGAATAGAGCCGATAGAACTCCTAGAATTCTTCTCAATTGCTTTGCTTTTTCTCAAAGCCATACCGAATGCAATAAAAGACCACATTTTTCCAAGAAGTAATCTGGCTAAAAGATTTCTTCACAAGGTCAGTAGCCTCAACGAGTTTTCTTCGGATGTTTTTTGATCGCAGAACTAGCACCCGTGAAGACTGAGGCTAGGCTAGAGCCGCGGCACTTTTACTAATGGAACGGGCATCGTGACGTGACGCCGACGAATTCATAACGCTGTCACGTACACGAAACGTCCTTCGTCGACAAGATGAACGAATGACATGAAGCTTTAGGAAAATTGAGTACGAATGCCCAAACAACAAGAGAATTAGTTGGAATTAATCTAGCCCTTCGAACTAGAATTTGTAAGAGACAAGTGGAAGAGGGAGACGAGGAGTTCAACTTAGAAGAGCAAGGACCCGACCGCTCAGCCTACCGTTAATTGGAATTTTTTATTTTCGTCCGCGGATTAGGTGGCGTTTAGCATTACGACTTCCGAGTTCTGGTACCCCATATATGGATTTTGGGGAGTCAAGATACGAAACAACACGTTGGCCGTTCGTTGTTCTCCTTGTGCACTCTTGATCTGGGTGGGAACTCGGAAATATCTGCCGAATGTTCTTGCGAGAGGGACTATTAGAACCTTGCAGAATGACGGCCATCACGAAACGAGAAAACAAAAACTGCCGGTTCCCGTGGAAGCGCACAGCTCGGAAATCGGAATCCAACTGCTTTGAAGAAGCTCTTTTCAAATGTCCTTCAACAATGTCTGGACAGTTCTCGCTGATCGTAGTGGCGGAGGCACAAAACAGTTGTTCCTTCCGTTTTGGCGCGTCTCCTCCTATGCGGCGGTGGAGAGAAGGAGCGCTTTAACCAAGACAGTTCAAGATTGTGAGCGGCTCCGCCCATATGATCAACGTGGATTGTGTCTTTACGACCAGTT